TGATGTGTGACTTTGAACAAACTCTTCAATGTGGCAACATTAAAATAAACTTGCAAAAAGAGAGAACTACATTTCTCCAAAGTGAAGTAAAATACTAGTTTTAGAGTAAAATAACAGTTTTTTAAAAAATGGGGCTAGATTGATTTGGGTAAATATTTTCCCTTAATAAAATAAATTATAATTTAATAACAGCATCTTGTAGTTCATCTGTTTATGTTTGTTTGAAACTAAAAATTGTTTGTTTTTCAACAAACTTTAATGTCTCAATTTATCAAAGAATGGACGAAATCTGAATTATCACAAAAAAGTTGCTCACAAACAATGGCTATGAGTTTGCTTTAGCTATCAATTTGTCAACATAAATCACTAAATCTTCAATGTATGTGAGACATATAGAAGAAAAAGGGATGTAGAGATTTCCTTGCATTACGACAACTAGATAACAAGGTCAGAAAAAAGTTTTAACAAACAAAATACAGAGGAAGAGGGAAGTAGGTCAGTTACACTAGCTTAACTTTGACAACCGTAATATGCAGATGTGCTGTTAAATTTTTTTTTTTTTAAATATGTGTCTTTTTTGTAATGTTGAATCTTGATATACCAGTGGAGCTGCTGTCAGTCAGTTGTTATGGCAAGGGTTGGGCGAAATAGAAAATGCAAAAAAAGAAGCGTATGAACGGTTTTGAGTTGTTCTTCAATGTTTTTTCTGTGTTATTTTTCACGTTGCTGTGTGAAGCCGCACTGAATTAATAATACCAACATCTCCGAGTTTCATAATGATGACGGATTTGTTACACAGCGGCAAAGTGGCTGCGCAAAAAAATTGTCTTCTTGCCCTTCAGCGTTGCGCGAAATTTCCAATATGAGGGAAAGCCTGTGAAGATTAAAGATTCTTGTACTGGAAGAAGGGGATTAAAATCAATCATTAAACAAGAGTTATCCCACTACTGACGTTAAAATGTTACATTTTATTTTCTAAATACAGAAAATTCAAATAAACACTAGAAAAAATGACAAGAAATGGTGTCAAACTGCTGATACTTTCGGTACTCTGCACTTCAACTATAAACAATAGTGTAGCAGAAAACATAAACAGTCACAGGAGCAACTTTATTATCAGTTGTTCTCTGGCGTATTCATCCAGGACACACTGATCTCCTAGATAATGATTGAAACTCTGCGGTTATACCAGCTTTCAGCCTACTAGACTGATTACACATGAATGGCTTTGACACTTCTTGATTTTCATCGAGTGCCAGTAAATAAAGAAGAACAATAAGGCTGACTGTGCTGCGGTTTGCCCGCTGCACCCACACCGCAGCCAACATGCACGCAGTTATTGAAATGAGAAGGGGAAGGGAAGTGGCTCTTTGTTCGGAGATACAGCAGCAGATCAAACACAAACACGATAGTCCTCTTTGAAAATGGTTTATGCCAAACTGATGTTCCACTAAAACAGGACAAAAATGTGCTTTCACTATCTGTGGCTTCTTAAAGGTAAAGGGAAAAAGCAAATTATATTTCTATATAGTTAAGCAGGGTGACTTTTTTATTTACTATTTGATTAAAACAAGTAGGTTACTGAGTAATTTCTGGTCATAAAATGTGATAGAATAGCAGGTCAATCAATCACTGATAAAGAAAAGCATGACCACAGCATGATGCTGCCACCGCCATGTGGAGGGTATTCATTTAGTCAACATCTGACCAGGTCACCTTCTTTTTTTAAAGGTCTTTTTGACTCTAGTGGCCTTTATTTGAAAGTAGTTGGACAGGTAACAGGGTAATGAGAGAGGGTAAAGACATGTAGCAAATGTTGCCAGGCCAGGAATCGAACCTGCAACCACTGCCATGAAGACTAAGGCCTCAATATGTGGGTTGTGCTCTGCCCCCCCAGGGCACCTTCTTATTATTTAGAGGATTTTGTACGCTTTATCAACACAAACTAGATAATTTTATAATGGAAAGCAAGTAAAGTCTTTTTGGGTATGGACTTTGACTAGGCCATTCTAACATATAAATATGCTTTGATACGAATCACTCCACTGAAACTCTCTCTTATTTTATTTAATTTCTTCATTTCACCTCTGACTAGCTTCCTTGTTCCTAAAGAAAACCCATCACCACAGCATGATGCTGCCATCACCATGTTCCACTCATTGCATAAAGGACAAAATTTACATCTACATTCTTTTCTCTTTTTTTTAATCTCATCTCACCAGAACACCTTCGGTCATGTGTTTGCTGTGTCCTTTACTGGGACAAACCAGTAGATATGACTGTGTTTCAGCAATTAATACCCATAAAGCACTTTTTTCCCCCAAGTTTGTAGAGTTTAATGAGCTGTGACGACTAGATGGGATTGTCCCTGCTCTTATTTTACTTAATTTCATCAGCTTGATAATAGTCCAGCTTTCGAAATATTCAATGTGACATGGTGTGTAATTAAGGGGATTTACTAACTGCTTGCTATTTCAGTGTCTTTATAACCTAACAATATTTTTTTTAACTTAAACTGTATGTATATCCATATATCTATATATATAGATATATATCTAGATAGACAGTATTCTGATTTTATATTAAAGTATTATTCCATATTATAAAATATAAGATGTTTAATTATTTATATTAAGTACATAAATGTAGTTTTATTGTATACAATATTTTATATGATTGCAAATTACCATATTATAATATCTACAAAATATTACAATTTCATAATGATAGTATATTATAAAATCATAATTTCATTGATGCAATATTATAAATTTATTCTTGAAATATTACTTTATTCTCATTTTATGACTTAAGTCTCGTAACATTAATTTATTGTCGTTATTCTATAACTTTATTATCATAACTTTATTTTTGTAATTTTACTGTTTTATTTTTTTATATGTATAAAATCCTTCATATATAATTATCTGCTGGAAAAACGAAGTGTATTCATCCTCCTTCACAGGGGTAGGAAGGAAAATGGTACACAAGTGCTAATAATCAACACATTCTTAATCAATAATCTGTAACTATTGCAACCTCTGTAGAAGTAAGAGTTGGGCATTTTCCTACACTGGACAATGAAGTCCATCAAACCACAAACAGACGTCCAGAGAAGCATAAAAAGCTCAGAAAAAGAACCGACAACAAATCTAATTTAAACTGCCAAAGATCCAAACTCTGCAGCAACAAAAGGTGAAGGTGGCCCAGTCAAAGTCCAGATCTAAAACTGAGTGAAACAGAGAAGCAGGACCTCAAAACAGTTAACGAATGTCCACAAAATGAACTGTTGCTAAAGCATCCTGTGTTTACGGACTTTGACTTAATGATTTCATCTCTGGAGGAAATGACATTATCTCATGTTTCCTCTTACAAACGTCATATGGGTCACATCTGAACAGGCAGCACAAATAGCTGTAAACAAATGTTGGTTTGCATAAAAATATGAAAAAATACAGCAATTGTTTTTTGAACAATGGTTAATATGACATCATTCCAATGGAAGAAGCTGTAACTTTTAACAGTTATAAATAAATGCCTTTTTACAGAAAAATGCAGTAAATTTACAAAACAGAGTTCTTAAAACAATATAATATTATTCAAATTGAACAAGTAGTCATGAATGTGAAATACAGCAAATTTGTAAAATGTTCTCAAACGAAAGGTTTTTTGCTAATAAAGTGTAAAATTTGTTTTTTTTTAGTTGAGTAGAACATCTGAACAATAGATTACACACGTTTTCAATAAAATGAGTTGTATAAAAAGCTTCAAATAAATGCTTTTTTGCAAAAAATGCAGTAAAATACAACAAAATCAAGTAAAATACAAAAAAATATGTTTGAAATTCAGTATTATGTTTCAGATAGGTGGGATATTAGAACGAAAGGTGATATGATATTAAAGAAAGTAACCAAACATGAGTTTCAGCTGCAGGCTGACAGCTTGTGGTCTCTAATTTATGGAGCTTCACCTTGAATGGGAGCAGGGAAAGATGGAGTGGGAGAGGGGGAAAAAGGTTTGTGGTTCTTTGTTTTTATCAGCCTGCTGCACCGGCAGGAAACACACGTCTAAATACACACACACACACACACACACGCATACACACACAGGTCTGCATCTTCCAGACAACACGGTCATTTCCTGTGACACTGTGTATTTATTGCTTAAAGTTAACAGAAAAACAACAGCTTTAAGAGTGAAAATCTCAACATTTATTAATATAAATCCCTTCACATTTTTGTGAAGCAATGCAGGGAAAGCTGATTATGTAACCTTTTATTCACGCATTAAAGCATGCGTGTCCGACTCTTTTGTCTGAGCGGTGTGTGCCGCGAAGCGCTCTGGGCCGAAAGGGGAACTTCAGGAACGAGTCAGTTGATATTTAAAACTGGAGCCGAGAGATAAATTAACTTCTCAAAAAAAGGATTGTTTATTTGAACAGCAGGACGGACTCTGTTGGGCAAAGAAAGGCACGAGTCGGCTCTGCAGTAGTCAGAGCAGCATTAAACATTAACTTATACAATCACGACCAGAAGTGTTTATAGTGTTCAGGTGAATTAGGTGTTTAATTGGTCTTGACTTTTATTGCCTCATTTTCTGCCTAAGCGCTGCAGGTTGATGTCGAAAGCAGCTTGTTGTGTAAAATAAAGTTGATAACTGAAAAATCCACATATTTGAAGGAAACCCAAGAAACTATGAGAAACTCTGAACCTTAACCTGCAGCTTTAAACACAGATGTGTATATTAGATATATGTCAAGCACCCAGTATGCAAATTCTTTGGTCAGGCTGCAAATTGGTGGTATTCCTGGCTTAAGAGCTTTTTGTTATTTGTAGATTGTGATCTTGGCAATCCAGGGGGGAACGAGATGCTCAGCAATATCTGTGCTACCAGGAAAGAAGAAGCGTGCGACATTAACACATTTAAATTGACCTGCCGCTCTGCCCATTAATGTGGCGGAGGTGCTGGAGTTCTGCGTCACGTATATATACCTGTGCAAGATGAGTACCTGCACCATTCGCTTTATTAGGACAGAAATGGCCTCCTCTGAGGGAAACACTCCAACCTATAAGATGGTGAGTTGTAAGAATCCTTTACAATCGCAACCAGGATGGTCATTTACTAAACCTTTTTTCTGTTTTAACCCTGATTCCTCTGTTTTTTCCCAGACGTCTTTAGATCCTGAGATCAACCAACACTTTCAGGATGCAATAGATGTGATCCAGCAGCATTCACACAATGCATACTACAGTCCAGGTACATCTTGTTACATCTCGAGAGATCGAAAACATGTTCGACAAATACAATTTTACATTTTATTTCTCTTCCAGAGTGCAAGTATTTCGAGACGCTGAGCAGCCAGCCGTCGTCTCTGCAGGTTCAGATGTCCTACCACGTCTTTGCACACCAATCTGACATCCCGGCTGTAGGATACGACTGGAGCGAAACAACTGTAGTTAAATTTTTACATTAAATCTTGAATCTCTTAGCAGCACTCCTGGCCTCAGGTCATCCCCCCCGACGTCTCGTTGAGCCACTCGGTGCCGAACGATTCGCCGCATTTCTACCCCATCGTCCCACCACAGAGGAACAGCAAAGGTGATTTCATTTTAAGGTTTTTAATCTGCAAAAACACAAAATCTCACCAAGGATTTTGTGAAATTCCTAAAATGTTTTAGGCAAAACAAAGAAATAAATGCTTTTTTATTGACTAAATCATCTTTTGGAAAGAAAGAAGTAGTGATTTTTTTTTTCTTTTTCCAAAATCCCTTTAGGGGATTATTTTATAAAAGTGACATTTTTTCTTCTAGTTTCTATCTTTGCAGAAAACTAACTTACAAGTAACATTTAAGCCAGATATAGGAGCTTGTTTAATGTAAATAATTCCTTAAAACTAATAAAAAAGTGATATTTCCACTGGCTGATTATTTAACTTAAAATAAAACAATTAATCTGCCAGTGGAATTAGCACTTTTTCATCAGTTTTAAGGAATTATTTATTTAAAGCAACCTGCTATATCTTATTGAAAAGTTACTTCTCAGTCAGTTTTGACTTATTTCAAGAACCTTTTCAGCAAGAAATATGAGCTTGTTTTAAGTGAATAATTCCTTAATACTGAATAACAAGTATTAGTCTCATAAACTGCCAATGGAACAAGAACTTTTTAATCAATATTAAGGAATTATTCACTTAAAACAAGCTCCTATGTCTTACTGGAAAACTATTTTAAGTTAGTTTAGTCCTTTTTAAGTGTACTAAGTTAGATGAACTAGACACTGTTAAGATTTAGCGGTTTTGCACTGTAAGAGAGCAACTTTTGATGTTTAATCAGCACTAAATAGGTGTAAAATCCATGTTGGCAGGACGTAAAAAGCTCAGGTTGTACGAGTATCTCCACGAAGCCCTGAACGATCCCAGCATGGGCGACTCGATACAGTGGACGGACAGCAGCAACGGCACGTTCCACTTCATCTCCAAGAACAAAGAGAAGCTGGCTGAGTGTTGGGGCCAGCGCAAGGGCAACCGCAAAACTATGACCTACCAGAAGATGGCAAGAGCCCTGAGGAACTACAGCCGCACCGGCGAGATCGTCAAAGTGCGCCGCAAGCTCACCTACCAGTTCAACCCAGACATCCTGCACAGGCTCGGCTCGGCGCAGGTACCCATGCACCTGCAGGCCCCGTCTGCACAGGACGACGCCCACAGTCGGCAGGAAAGCCCCTCCGAGCAGAGCTACCCCGGGTCAGCAGCGGACTGGCACGGCTGGTACGCACACTACCAGCTTCAGGAAGACTACGACCTGGCGGCGAGCTTCACCTCACACAGCTCAGCCAAACTGTGAGCCAACAGGCAGCAGATCCTGAAAACGTTCCTCATTTGGAGGGATTCTTTAAAAGACTTTCGTCTGTATGTTGCATCTAAATATTCTCTGGATGATGAGCTGAAAGCAGCACGCGATGTGGTCCGGTTATTTCAACAGTTTCTGTAAATAATCTGTAAATATTGTCAAAAGTGATGTTGAAATTGAAGTAAAAGATTATGTTCTCGTTTTGATATGAGTCCTTATTTTGAAGCCTTTTTGATCTGAGTTTTTTGAAGAAACATGCATTTTTCTCTCAAAACTGTTGTGATAACTGTTTATATTTTATTCAATATTTTGTTTATTTCCACAGTTATACAACTTTAGTCATAGTATAACAACTCTAGCTATGAAAGCTCTGTTAATGCAAACACAGCTTGCATAAACAGCTCTGTTTATGCAAGTTATGAATCACTGTAAAGCGTATATTGTATTATTATTAAACTGACTTTTTAACATTTCCAGTGGCATTTAATAAAATCACCTAACAGGAGATCAGATAACGAGATTATGTATAGATCTCCTACAGGGCATCAAACCATCACTGTTAAATAATAAAAATAAGCTTAACTTCTATATAATTTGAACTCTTAAGTTTTAACTTGTACTGAAAACTTTTCAAAATGTTTAAAAATGTTGAAAATATGAAAAATTAAGCCTAAAATATCTAAAACTGGATTAAATGTATTAGAATTTGACCATTTATGAAGAAGCTGATTTTTTTGTAACAACTATTTGTTGATGAAAACATTTTGATTGTTTCAATAAATGTTTTACATTTGGAAAAAAAACCTGCATCCCTATGTTTCTTTCGGACTTTCAGTTATTTTTAAGCTTTTCATCTGTGATGAATTATTACAAAAGCCACAGAGTAAATAAAAACTCAGACTATTCCTGAGAAAAAATATCTAATTTGACAATTAGAATAGAATAAAAAATATGTATTTTAAATGTTTTAATAAATGTTCTACATTTGCAACAACAAAAAAACTGCATTGCTGCGTTTTCTTCCTCCATGAATGAATTATTACAACAGAAAACACAAAAATTTAGACACATCCTGAGGAAAAGTGTTTTTTTTCCCTGAAATCGGAGCGCTGCGTTAAGGCTGCCTCCCGTTCTGGGTCTTATCTGCTGCAGCGGGGAGGATGTGGTCAGTGTCGGTGAGCTGCCTGGTGGCGCAGTCGGGGGGCTTTGTGGGATCGTTGGTCATTGTTTCAGGGAGTTCAGGCTCCACAAGACGTTTGGTGATGTGCTAACATGGGAGGGTATAAGAAGGGCTGCGCGTCTCAGAGTCATCTGGGTGAAACTGCAAAAAGACTGAGCGACCGCAGATATTCGTCGGTGATGGTAAAGAGCACACAAGCTTCACTTTAACTGCATTAATATTATTTTAAAAACTGTATCAAAATTCTTTCCAGGACAATCAGTCTGACTTGGAAGTGATTTTAGAGTTTCTCGAGGAATACTACAGACAAAGTATTCCAGAAAATGGTACGAAAAGCAACTACAGGTTGATTTTATTTCCTAATTTTAATTGAGTTTGTTTTTAATTTTTTGTTTTTGTTTGATTTTTTAGCAGAGAAGGAATCTTTTGGTTTAGGTGAGCCTGTGCATGGAGGAGATGTGGCTTTGGATCAAACCTGTGATGAAAGCTGGGCATACCATGATGCATCTGTAAGCACACAAACACACACACGCACACACACACACACCACACACACACACCACACACACACACACACACACACACACACACACACACACACACACATGAACACACACACACACACATGACACACACACACACACACACACACACACACACACACACACACACACACACACACATGAACACACATGTTTGTTTCCCCGTTAATGTTCTACAAATTAAAGTAACTATGAAGCCTTTTCACTGGCACCTAAATATGACATGAATAAAATGTTAATTTAGTTAGTAATTTAATTTAAAAATGGACATTCATGTGTAGAGCCACCATGAATTTATGAAAACCAAAAATCTGAATATTACATTAAAAAATTATTTTTTAAAACAGAAATCTTACGTAATAAAAATCAGTCTTAAGATGGATGATTTTTTTCCTGATTTTATCTCAGGAAAATAAAATTCCTGAAATATTGTTCAGATGTTCAAAGCACAGCTTTTTTTGTATTTATTTTAGGTGGAAGTAATTTTTGCTTTTAATTCAGAAAGCCTTCAAGTCTGGAGGAAAAGTGGAGAAATGCAGAAGTTGTCATTGGCTTTGTTTCCATTACAAATGTGCCTAGATTTAGCAAACGCAAGTTTGAGTTTTCAGTGGTTGTAGAACTAACAGGCATAAATAAATAAATTAAATACATCAGTCTTTTGTAAGGAAGCTATGCAGGCTGCACGTTTTGAACCAAATTCATTTTCTTCTCTGACTCCATCAAAGGACGTCAAACCTGTATTTCAGACCTTCCTAAACCATGATGCCCAAGCCATCTATGGCCAAAGCACAACAGCGACATTGTCTGAGTGTGGGTCAGTGCCAAACTCTGTCGCTGAGAGACAATCATCCAAACACCCAGCCGCTGCAGCAGGGAGGGGTGAGTTCTCCTTTTTTCTGGTCATTAGACACTGTTATTGTCACAGTTGCTATTAGCCTGGGGGAAATAATACCAAGAGAGCAAATAAGAGACCTGCCCTTTACTGTAAAACACAATGGAGCTGTGCTTGGCTTAGCGCACTAACTTATTTTACATATCTATCAGATAACCACAGTGTTTACAAGTCTGGCCTCTGACATACAGATCTATTATCTCTTTAGAGATTTTCTGGGAATGGATGTGGTTGAGGGAATGATTAACTGTAACCAGCATTAACTGCTGTGAATTTCATATTGAACATCTCCCTTTCAAATCCCCTTCCATCACATGTGCCACTCACGGTTTGCTCAACACCTGCAGGCAGAAGGCTGCGGCTCTTCCACTTCCTGTTTGAGATGCTGCAGGACCCGAGCATGGCCCACTGCCTGTCCTGGGCGCCGGCGCCGCCCGGCGTGTTCAGCTTCTCCTCCAGGAATAAGGACCAGGTGGCGGCGCTCTGGGGTCAGAGAAAGGGCAACAAGAGGCCCATGACGTACCAGAAGATGTCCCGCGCTCTGAGGAACTATGCCCGATCGGGTCACATCTTCAAGGTGAAGAAAAAACTCACCTACCAGTTCAGCCGGGACACGCTGATATCACTGCAGAAGGGTCACAGAGGAGATCCGTAGATCTATACTGCAAACTCTCTCTTTTCACATTTTACTGTGGTGTAAATACAGAACTAAATAAAAACTTGCTGTTACGTTACATTTGTAGTTTAAGGACACTTTGCTGTAATTCCTCTCAAACAAAGATGCACACAACTAACGTTAGTGTAAAGGAGCAGTTCTTTCTCTAGAAATTACTTATAATTACTTTAAATATGTTGTGTATTTTCTAAATTATACACACTGGCTCAGATATTTACAACAACACAATCTTAGTTTGCATTGCAAATATCTTAGTAAACTTGAAATAACATCCAACTAACTTACAAATAACTTTTCAGCAAGATATATGAGCTTGTTTTAAGTAGATAATTCCTTAATATTGATGAAAATAATTATAATGTCTTATTTTAAGTTAAATATTTTGGGGGTGGAACTTGTACTTTTTCATGAATGTTAAAGAATTACTGACTCAAAAGAAACTCTTATCTTTTTGAAAAGTTACTTATAAGTTAATTTTGTCTTATTTTAAGTGGGCTAGTATATCTGCACTAGAATAAGTAGAAATACAAACATAAAATTTTATTTTTGGTCAACTATTTTAGTTCACTTGAAATAAGACAAAATTAACTTACAAGTAACTTCCTAGTAACTTTCTAGTTACTTGTAAGTTAATGACAAGTAAATTATTTCTTAATCTTAAAGTGCTAATTCCACTGTCAAATTATTTCACTTATAATAAGACATTTTCTCATGTTATGTTAAGTTAAATAATCTGCCAATGAACTAGTAAATTTTCAACAGTATTAAGAAATTATTGACTTAAAACAAGCTCATATCTTGCATTAGAAATTAGACAAAATATATTTGGTAGGATTTTGTGTTATAAAATTGGGAAGCCCGGGTTCTTTAAATTAAACAAAAAATTTTGCTTGAGACATCATTAATTTAAGAATATTAATAAATTGAGGTCATCAAAGGTCAACGAGCGCATTTAGATTTACAAACTAAAACAATCAAATCTGTTGCACTGCAAAAGCTCAAAATACAACCAAGTATTTTTCGTCTAGTTTCTTGTCCAAATATCTTAGTACACCTTAAATAAGACAAAATTAATGCAGAAGCAACTTTTCAGCAAGAAAAGGGAGATTGATTCAAGTCAATAAATTCTTAAAATTGATGACAAAGTACTGGTACTGGTAGCAGATTATTTTTCTTAAAATATGGAAAAAATGTTTTGCTTGCCATAGAAATCCTGTTAATGCTGCCTGGTAGCATTAAAAATGTTTCCCTTTTGGGTTGAAGTATTTCCTGGTTATTATGTTTGCACAGAAAGTCTCTGAGGTTTGAGTCTCAGTGAATCCAAATCTGTTTTTATTTTTGAAACTAGGTGTTTGCTCTCAGCTGGGTGAAATATGGAGAAAGTCGACATATACCTTACAAACCACAGGGTGTCAGTGTTGTCCTTCTCAAAGCTGCTTGCTCCTTAAGGTTTCGGTTTCTTCTTACGTTGCAAGAATTACCAACTGGACATGCCAGCGCCAGGCCCACTTCCCCATATCCACCATTTACTGAGCCGCAAATGTGGAAGCCTGAAAAAAATAAAATTACAAAAGTTTTTTTCAACATTTTCTCACATTATAACCACAAACTTGTATGTATTTGCATGTGATATACATTGTAACTAAAGAATAATTGTAATGTGGAAGGAAGAGATATAATGTTTACAAAGTAAAATCTGAATAGTGTGGTCTGAATTTGGATTCAATACCCTGAATAAGAGCCAATAAATTAAGAAGAAAAAAAACATTTAGAGGCTGCAAAGTTCAAGAGACTGGGGTAGTTGTTCAACTTCTATCAGGACAACAATCATAAAAACGCACAACTAAATAAAATTGAAGATTTGTTTACTGCAGACTGGGCTTGAATTGAATGACACGGGGAAAACTCAATCTATTGATGTTCAAATCTACCAAATAAAACAAGACTTCCAGCTGTTTTTGCTGCAAAGTGCAGTTTTGCAAAGAATTGACCCAGGTGGGACTGAATTAAAACACAAGGCAACAAATTTAATCAAAAGCAACTTTGTTGGAGTTAGAATCCCTCCAGAAGTTTGAGCATTCATGTTGAACTGTAGATTTCTGGGCTTATTGTCGGTCGCATTTCCTGCAGCTTTGGCATATAATCTCTCTTTAACCCCATCATTTAAGTTTGATGAGACAAATGGTTCAACCAGGACTTTTATAATTCACAATAAAATTCTCCACAAGCACGTGTCAAATGTCAAGGTTTATGATGGCTTTCTAAGTATAGAGCATTTTGCCTCCCTCCAGGCATCTCCCCTGTATTTATTCTCTGGGTTGGTAAGCCTGCTGTTCTTGGCAAGCATTCCACCTGGATTAAATCGATATCTGGAATCTGCACCAGCTCCCTGCTTGTCATGTTTAACTTTTCTTTCAATATAAATCAACAGATTCCCTGAATTTGCTGCACCTTGTTTGAGAATAACATGACGTCAGGCTGAGACCCGTGACAATGACGACACCTTTTCCTTTTATATCTCACCCTCCTGCTATTGTTGTTCATCTATCAAGGGAATAATCCCAAAATAACAGGAGGAGCTCAACGAAACTAAAATACAGCTACAATAACAGCAGCAAATATTTATCTCAGAAACTCAAGGGACAGAGATAATCTCACATTCTGAACAATTGGAGGCTGAAAATAGTTTGATTTCAGTCAATCTTCCTAAAGAGCTTGAAAACCTTGAAATAAATTTACTAACTAGATGTAAACAGCCGTCTTCAATATTTTGCTGTTTAAATTGATTGTCATTTATACTAATGGATTTAACATAGCATTTGTTTAAGGTTTCCTGAAATAATGGTCAATAATAATCACTTTTTGCCAAAAGTGATTATGGCAAAGAAAAGAAAAAAGAAAAAAAAGAAAGAAAGATATTTTTGGCACAAACAATCACCATTATCATTTTAGGAAGGTGACAATATGATATTCATGAGCCAAGGACATAAAAATCTTGTAATTGTTTTATTATTTTACACAATATATGTGCTATAATTGCAGCACAGAGCTCCACAAATGGAGAGGAGGAGCATTCCTCCTCTCAATATAAGCCCTAAAAGCCAGGCCCCCCCGGATCTACCACTGGACCTCCTGTCTCCCCCCTACTAAGACTCATCCTCATCAGCTGCTGTTTAAGAGGATCATCATTTCTTGCAAACTGTCATCATAATCATCAAAGTTTACCTGGACTAAGGCGAGTCCAAAGACTTAAAGTCACACGCACTGACTGCATCTACCTGCAGAAATCTAAAGTTTTCTTGCAAGCCGGCTCAAGATGCCAGAGCCAACAAAGAAAGGTAGGAGTCCTGATTATAAACTGCCTTCATGCATTTAAAAAATCCAAACAACACCTGCTGTTCTGCTGGTTTTAACCAAATTCTGGGTGAAAAAGTAACATGTTTAATAGATTACGGACCTGGGATGCAAACAAAGAATTTATTTCTATTAATACGTCTTTGAGGGAGCAGAAACAGTTGCTTCTCACTCAAGGGGATCCATCACTTTGCGGCTTGCCTGCCAGCTCGTACACAGGAATCCTCAAAGTGACTTTGACAGTGGTATTGTATTACTGATATATGCGTGTCTCTGCCATCTTTGGTGCAAGAATTGACCCGAGGTGTGTGGATGGGTAGTGTTGTTGCACCCGATTGGAGAACAATCCGATGATGGAGAGCAGCGCAGGAATCTGGTGAAGCAAACGTCTCAGGAAGGATGATGCAATTTCAATTTAGAGAAGTCATACAAGGGTAGATCCTCTAAATGCCTTCCTGATGACTTGTGTAGCCAAGCAGAAACGGCCTATTTTGTCTGTCGAGATCTTCCCCCTCCACATCCAAATTCAACCAACCACCATCACAACCCACCTTTTGTCCCGCCCAGCAAATCCGTTTTCATCTGCACCTTCATGTCCATCAGCACTCTGCTTGTGTCTGTCATCATAGGCATTACGCCTTGCTAATTCCTTGTTAGCAAAGCCGTCTCCAGGTCTCTGGCCACTCAAATGCATACAGAATAACTTGAATGTATAGTTTAGTGTTTGGGCAAAAAATGCAAGTTTTAATGGCTATTAAAGATTTACTGGTGCTTTTCTGTATTTAGAGTTTTTGCCTATAGTCTCTGTGCAGATTTACCCAAAACACAGAGATTTAAAATAAGACTTGGTTTAATAGTTTGACTGCAGTGAGACATCACTAAAGAAATGGGGAACGATTCTAACACATTTCCATTACCACTTAACTGGCATCTCAAAAGGATAAATCAGGATGTTCATTAAGATTTTGTTGTTCTACTAAAGATCTTTAGGAGCTTTTCTTCAGCCAAACTACAGATCCAACTTTACACGGTTTAAAATACCTGGTTCTTGGAGACAACAGGTTGACTTTCCTCCAAGTTTTAGTTAACAGCTGCGATCCACTGACTATATAATTGTTCAATTTGACATTTTGAAAATAAAATTGCTTAATGGAAACATGACAGTTAAAAAATTAAACAGGCAGTAGGATAATGGTTGTATTGAAATTGGTTTATTTCACAAAACTGCAATGGAAACACTTGTCCATGATAAATAACCAGATATTGGAGGATGATGAGGTGGGATGTTTTTTTAATGACTTATGGAAAGGACAAACTCATTCAAGTGTAATTTGAATTGCATTTCTTATTTAATGGAAGCACAGCAATTGCAAATTTAATGTTTTAACATTAGCAGAATATTGACCAGGTTTTGCCCACATTTGTAATGGAAACAGCTTATGGCAGCTATAAATCTTTTCCAGATGCAAATAATTTTACCTCAAAGTAGAAGCTTCCACCTAAATCTGGCCATCAATTAACATCTTTTTATTATGGCAATGGCTATTGTGGTACAATCTGTCCTGATCTCTATTTAGCAAAGGAAAATATGGTGAAACGAGACTTTTACCAATAGATCCAGTCCAAATTAGTCAGGAACAAGTTTTGAGAAGCAAGATCCCAATAAGTTTCATGGTAACTCTAAAGAATCATCTGTAAGTTGTTTGGAGAAATCAACAAGATTTAGGGCCATACTAAAAAAAAACAAGCTAGAAAATAACAAGGATAAAGTCCTGTTAATGTAACATGAGACCACAGATTATTTTAAACTCAGAATGATATGAGTTCATTCTTGCATTATTTACATTTCATTCTCGTATTATTATGACTTTATTCTCATATTATGTTGTTTTACTTCTTAGAGTGGCTCTAATACTCAGTTGCAGAAATCAGTGTTTTTATCCAGACATTTTTCTTCCAATGAATACTCTGGTTCTTTTTCTTAAGTAAATTAAAAGCTGTAGATGAAAGAGAAAATTCTTTTAAACTCAATGTCAAAACATTTAGCGTTCTCAAAGCCCAGTGGATCGACTCTTGTCTGTTTATTTGTGCATTTAAAGTTTAGAAGGTATTGTTTTTAGAATCAGAAACACATTATAATAACTTCTGCTTTCCATCCGCAGACCTCAACATTACACTAAGCCATGGCAAAGTAAAGTCCAAATGTCTGAAACAAATCCTTCCCAAAAATAGCTGCCAAACCTGCAGATAAATGAGTGGAAAACTATTGTTGTTTAAATGAATCTGAACAGCTGAGGAAGAGGAGGGGCCAGCGTCGTTGTTTTAGACACCCAAGTCAACATTAGAAATGGTCGTCTATGGGTCTCTTGGGAAACATTCTTGTCCCTGGAATAGTTCAGAATGAACGCACTTTTAATCCCCGTGCCTAGTCCGGTGCCATCTCCAACTATCGCTGCCCAACCGCTCCCCCAATTCCTTTCCTACCACGCACCAACGCAGACGTCTCGCTGCCACTTTCTGCTAAAGATGGATCACTTAGAGGTCAGGCACTTCCCTATTAAACTTGCCCACATGGCCCTTTGGGGCTGTCTGCACTGTTTACAACCTCGTAGTGTAAATGGTGGCAAGACCAATGTCTTCACCTTATGATATTTACTATATCCTATCCATCAGTCTCTCCTGACTCTGCCTCATGGCCATGTTGCTTTGTGTTACGGGATATCACATCATTCATCAAACCTGTGGTAAAAAGGGGAAGGGCTGTCAGCAGTTAATTATCACCAGAGGGCAGTTCTCATCTACTTCAGCCAAAGACAAAAGAAGTCACAGATATAAAAAAAAACAAAGATGGGAACAAACAGTCTTGCTATCAGATTGTCTTTGCCAACATCATAAAGGTTTATTTAAGGAAAATATGAAGCTGGTGGCAATTTGGCTCTCATTTGAGCCTCTATGAGCCCTTCTGTCTGCAGGCCAGCACGGACAACAGCTGCACATACCTGCAGCCATATCAGCTGCACTGGGAGCCCTCCGGGGTAAAACAAAACCTTTCTCCACACTCATTATCTCAGCGGTGATGAGACCAAGAGGCTAAGGTTCAGTCTTGGGTGGATGATGTGACCCTGCAGGATTGTGGTCGAGTGGCCAGCATCGCATTGTTATGAAGTGAGACTGGAGAGTGGTTCATTTTGAGATTGAGAAGGAAGCCTAATGGACCCTTTAAGAAGAGAGTTCACAATCAGACTTGTACCGTTGCCATTTGACATAAGTACAGGATACCAACAAAAGAAAAGTCGTAGCTCAGCCAGTGCTTATCCTTGCTTTTTATTTTAGAATAGTCCTTTTTAACCTCAAATGAACAGCTTGTATGAAAGCATCAGAATGCAAAAATATTGTGTTTCAGTTAATGAGTTGGAGATTGAGCTTCACTCTCCCATATGGCCACATCTTTCCATCAAAAGAGTATTTTCATTCTTCCTCTGAGCCTGTCCCTATCCTGTTTCCAATGCCTTTATGCTGAGCTCAGTGTTAGTTTTAGTTTATTTCTGTTCACAGGCCATTCTCAGATTACATTTGTTAATGTCCACCTTTTGTGGATGCAAAGGCAAGAAACCCCCCCACTTGATGACTTTGTGTTTTTGTGTTTGTTATGATGTAAAGCACTTTGAAATGTCTTACTGCATTTCAAAGTGCAGCAATTTGCTGTACATAAAATTTGTAGAGCAAAATTTGTATAGCAAATTTTATGTGCTATACAAATAAGATTTGATTGATTGATACAGTTGAAACCAGAAGTTTACATGCATCAAATTAAAAGACATACAGTTTATTCCCCCTGCTGTCTGACATCTCTTGGTCTAAGCTAATCGTTAACACACATAGGGTCAACTTGAACTTGGATTTCCACCATCATGAAATGACTAACATAGGATATTCAATCATTTAGGCAGATTGTAGGATTGGATGTGCAACAGCTTCGGTAGTGGTGTTGGTGTTAAGACTGGTGACCAAGCAGCAGAGTGTCAGTACTAAGTATCCAAGTATCTTGTTCATGAGGGATGATAGGAGCAGGAGACTAATCTACTTAAATAAAATGGGTGTTGCTCTGATTGGTTAAGAAAGAAGCAAAGCTCTGAATTTACTGGCCTGTCTACTTTCTGACTTTCTCCTTTGACTATGAAATGTGGATAATGACCTAAAGAATAAAATCCCAGACAAAAGCAGCTGCAATAAGCTTCTATTGGCTCAGCATTAGAAGTTTTTCAAACATATCTAAAAAGTAAAAACTGAGCATTGAGTCAGACCCAGATTAGTGAGCTTGGAAAAGAAAACTCTTTGAAATTAGAACCGCATCTGACATTTTCTCTGTTTATTTAAAATACCAAAGTATTTCAAGTTGTTTTCCTAACTGATTTGATTCCATTTTTCATTTTCTACCAGAAAAAGCACAGGCTCTGGCAACTGGAAGATGTTGCATTATATGAAGCATCTGTTTAAGATAATAGTCTGTTTGAGGAGGTACGTTTTTTCCATGCGAAGTGTTTGCTAAAGCAGTTATGCCTGAAAAGAGTCTGAAAATATGTTGGCAACAAATCGCTCTGCATCATAAATAGAATTGCACCCAAAAATTTTACTCAAGTAAGAGTCGCACTACTTCAACAATGAAATGTAAAAAAGTAGCTCAATTAAGAGTAAAAAATGATTAAAAATTTAAAATTACATGGGGGGCGCAAGTGAGCACCGTATGGAGTAGACGTGTTTCTTTCGGCTCCTCACCGCTCAAAATAATTTTACATTTGCATTGATATTCTACTCATTTTTCGGTTCCTCCTTGCTCTGACCGACTGTCTTGACATCGAGGATGACTAAACCCAAGGCGGATAAAGGAAAGAAGCAAGATAAGACCTCGGAAGAGACGACTGGACAGCACGTGTCGGAGCTAGCTACACAAGCGACGACCGCAACAGAAGCTGAACTAGCATGT